CTACCCCCAGAGTCACCAAGGATGACATTATATATGGTCAGGCAGTCTACCACTAAGAATTCAGCCATCACCGTTCTGATTTTGGGTTCTACCCCCAGAGTCACGGGAAGGTCGATTGTTCCTTTGGGGACCAAGCTTTCCTCGATGAATCCATAGAGCGGCGAAGGACACGCCTTCAAGTCTCTCTCCGTAAACCTCATTTCTCGGAAAGCTCCCAAGAAGATGATGTTCACTGCACTCCTATTATCAACCATCACCCTCAATACTCTAGCATTACCGATCCTAGCTACGATTACAATTGCATTATGATTATGGCGAAGGGATTCTTCACATTGCTCGACCGTGAATCCTACCACTTCGCTCTCTTGTTTGAGCTGCTTTAGCGGCTTTTATTCACAGTTCATTATTCGGGGGACTGAGTCTATTCTGGCTTCTCGAGCATATTGCTAGTGAGCGCACCTTGAGCTCCCCGCTATGTTGAGCCCCCCGTAGATCATGCTCACTAGAACATCATTGTTGGCGTTGGCCGGGGCTTGTTGGACCTGGTTATTTTGCTCGCCAGTATTTTCTCGAGCTGGTGCCTCCTTAACAAATTCCTTTTGGTGGCCCCTTCGTATCAAGTCTTCGATGACATCCTTTAAGGCTCGACATTCGTTGGTATTGTGCTCGATGTCCTGGTAGTATCAGCAATATTTTTGCCGATCTCTTCTGCCCGGAGCCCCCCTCATTCTTTCCAGAGCAGGCAGTCTCTTCGCCTCACAGGAGACTTTGTATATGTGGGCTATCTCTTGCGTGACGTGGGTATACTCTGCGTATCACTAGAAAAGATGTTTGTTCCCGCGGTTATCTGTTCTCTGTCTTTTTTGGGACCTGTTCCGATCCCCATCATTGCTTTCTTGGCTCCTCCGCTTGTCTAATGGGCGATCTTGTCACCTGTCCGAGGCTCTTCAAGGCTAGCTTCAGCCAGGGCTGCTAGCGAGCTTTCTACTCTCTGGTGCTTTACAGCCATCTGGTAAAACTTGGTCAGGCTTACGTGATCTTCACTTTGGAGCTCTTTCCACAGCTCCGTTTGCGTCCTGATGCCTGCAATTAGCAAAGTCCAGATTGACTCTTTAAGGGCATCCGCGACCTTTGCTTGCTCGTTCTGGAACCTTATTAAATATGAGGTCAGTGTTTTGTCTCTTTCTTGACGAATGTTGCTCAAGTAACTGAGCAGCATTGCAAACTGTCTCCTCGTTTGGAATTGCTGCAAGTACAGCGAGGAGAATTGTTGTCAAGAACTGATGGAGTTCACCTTGAGTCTTTTGTACCACCTTTTGACATCCCTACCAGTGTGACCACGAAGTAGCGACACTTCACCAAGTCACAGACCTGGTGCAGCTCCATCAGGTCATTGAAAGTGTCGAGGTGGTCTCTAAGATCTCCTTTCCCATCGAACTTACTTTCTGGTGCCCTGAATCCTTGTGGAAGCAAGGTTTGGAGAACCTCTTCTGTGAAGAGGGAGCTTACTATTTCTTCCGTCGTATTGTTCTGGCGAGCTCTTAGGTCATCGAGCATCTTCTGCACACGATCTAAGTCTTCATTGTGATTGCCCTGGCTGGCTCTATTCAGTCTTACCTTGAGCAAATGAGTTCGTAAATCTGTTGCTTGTGACCCCTTCCATTACGCGCATTGATGCGCGAAGTTGAGTCATGATGGCTTGGTTGATATGTGTTATCATGTTCGTCAATGCGTTGCTTGCGACATCGGTTATAACCAGAATGTCGGTCATTGCCAGATTGACGCACATGACTTGTTTCGCAAGCTTGCGAGGATCGAGCTTGTCTTGAGCGTAGGTTAAGACTGGCACGCTGACGCTGGGAATATAGTCGAGTAGGTCAAGCGTCTCGTGGGTGACCATTACCTTCGCTTTCACCTATTGGTTGTTTCCCTGGTCGCGTCCTGGGGTTAGTTTGCTTGCGGAACTCACGCTCGTGAGCGGAGTGAACTTTGTGACGTCAAGGGTATTAGTCGCCTCTTGGTGTCGATGAGCCGGATTGGTCACCAGCTAAGTTTTGACCTGTCGGGGTGATATCAGTGAAGCGTGGCTGGTCAAGGTTTTGTGCGATTGGTTGCTGATTTCTCAGCTCAGCCATATTCTGTTGCACCGCCTCGCCTATGCAACTATTGTTATGATCATTTCTACCAGTTGGCCATTTTCAAGGTTTGGCATTCTTGCCCCCTGGTTATTTGCGCCCTATTAAGTTGGAGGCACTAGTGGTCAACGCCCAGCGACATTCTGTTGCACTTCTTGATGGATGGTGTCCACATTGTCATGGTTTCTGGTGGTGGTTTTCGATCTTGTACGCACCATTGCAGGCCTGGACTGATTAAATCGCTGTGGTTGTTTGCTAGAATTTATGAGATGTTGGCAAAGGCCCCTTCTTTTAATGTCAAAATGTTGATACATAAATTTGCATCAACTAGAATGATTCGATCGACCTTGACGAGATCGTGAGTAAACAATAATGGTTGTAAAGTAAATGACAAACATATTTTTAAAGTGGTTCGGCGAGATGAACTCCTGAGCCTACATCCAGTGTTTGTTGTATTTGTTGTGAGAGCTTACAATGACAATCCTAGAAATGTTTTCTAACCATTTTCTCATCGTTGGTGGGGGTTTATATACAGAGTTTGTAAAAAGGAAAGAGCAAAAATATAGGGATTACAATTAAGTTCTAACTGCAATTATGATATTCTCGCGATTGGGCTTTATGATTGCGCAAAGATTGCTGTCATTTTAATCCTTCCCAAGATATCCGGGATCTGAGGTTATCTGCGAATTGGTTGAACACTTGCAAGGATTGGTCATGACTAGCTTGTGCTAAGTCGAGCTACAACTCCACGAGCTTATGCTGGTTCGGGCAATCGGTAGAGTCAAACTTGTTCTGGATTGAGCTATTACCCTGCAATTCTCCGAGCTTGATGGAAAAATCACACACAACAATGTCTTTAAACCCAATTTAATACCAAAAACAACCTTCTAAGCTTAATTAGGTTTATCTTTCTCAATTTCAAACTTAATTAGGTTTTTGTTTTATACTAGTTTTCCTAAATTGCACTTAAATATATTTTTTTTCTTTGGGTAAACGACTTTTTCCCACCCAAGGTTTGCCTTCATAATACTTTCCCACCCAAAAGGTTTCAAAATACTACTTTTCCACCCAAAAGTTTATATTCCTTTAATGCCCAAAATATATTTTACTTTCTTAGCTGACATTTGGCGAGTTACCAAGGTAAGAGGGGTTTTGTAGAGTGGAGGCCGATGGATCAAATGGTGGTGACCGATTGAATATTCGCCACCAAATCAGCTGGAAATCAGCTAAGAACAAGAAACCATAGTTTTGCAGTGGGCGACAATCAACGAGAAATTAAGTGCCAGAGTGAGAGGGTTTTTGTAGAAAGGAGACTGAAGGTTCAAATAGTAGTGGCAGAGAGAATTTTCACCACCCAAATCGACTTTGGGTAGTATTTTGAAACTTTTAGGGTAGGAAAGTGTCATCAAGACAAACCTTGTGTGGGAAAAATTTATTTACTCTTTTTCTTTTAATTTCCTAATTTCAACGTATTTTCTCTTCTTCATATTCAAATTCATTTTGTTATGTTTTCTATAGTTTTAGTATTATATTTTATCAAACAAACAAATGTTTAAAAAAAAACATAAAGGTTTCAATAATTATGAATATTTATGATTAGGTCATGAAAACATAGGGTTAATGTTTATGTAAGATTCCATGTTAAAAATTAAAAACAAAATTATAACATAGAGTATGAGTGTATTTAGAAATTATAATATTATTTCTAGTAATTTAAATTAAGGTTAAATTTGTCAAAACAAAAAATTAAACTAAAAGTAGGGTTAAAGATCAATTAGTGAGGGTTAAAAATCAGGATAATACTACACTTACAACTCAATCTCACAAGCTCTCTCTCAAAACCCCTAGGTGGTAGCCCCTAGATTTTTGCTGATGAATTTCCCAAAATTCAAAATTCATCAGCAAAAACGGGGAGCTGCTACCTAAGAGTTGTGAGAGAGAGTTTGTAAGATTGAGTTTTGAGTTAATCTTTATTGTAAAAATCACTTTCCTATTATTGGGATTGAGTAAAGGATTTTTTCCCACCCCAGGTTTTCCTTAATGACATTCTCCCACCCAAAAAGTTTCAAAACACGACTTTTCCACCCAAGTCTATATTTTGTTAATACCCAAAATACAGTTCACTTTCTTAGCCGCCGTTTGGCGAGTTACCAGGACTGAGGGTAAAAAGGGTTTTGTAGAGTAGAGGCTGATGGATCGAATGGTGGTGATTGATTGAATATTCACCGTCAGAATCAGTCGGAAATCAACTAAGAATAGGAAACCCTAGATTTACGATGGCCGACAATCGACAGGAAATCAGGCGCCAAAGTGAAAGGATTTTTGGAGAGAAGAGATCAGAGGCTCAAATGGTGGTGACAGAAAGAATTTTTAGCATCAGAATCGACTTTAAGTAGTAACAGAACATTAGTGTTGGGTGGAAAAGTGGTATTTTGAAACTTTTTAGGTGGAAAAGTGTCATTGAGGCAAACCTAGGGTGGGAAAAAGTCGTTTACTCAACTGGGATTTCCTCTAAGTAAAGGCCTTTTCTATTGGGATTTATAGGCCTATGTAATGTCAATTGTTCCAATTCTCCTTAAAAGTTGCTCTTTTATTTTTATATATCAAGCCCTGCTGGATAATTCCAAAGTTTCAGAACGAAAGGTTAATATTACAATGGCGTTCTTAAAGACGGAGAACAGGCCCTCAGTTAATCAGAAGGGAGTTGTGGAAGACGATTCTTGTAGAGTCTCCTGTTCAGTTAAAACAGATTCAACTTGCCTCTTCAATAAATGGACATAGCTTGGACAACGATTTTAAGCACACACTAAAAAGATAGAAACAATTACAATCACAGAGTTGAAATAAAATATATATGTATGACATTATATCAGTTACAACAAGCCATTTTGGATGACAACACTAATAATTTCTTACTTCTAAAACACTCTACGTGTACATTAGATTATCTAAAGCCTCATCTTACTTACTATATAATAAGACTAATTATTCTAGAGCAATTGAAACCTACCTGTGATCCCTGTTTTAAGTATATTTATATCTCCCTTTGCTTTGTAAAAACACCATTAACAGCTACTTCTTGATAACAAATCCAGCAATAATGTCCGTAGTCACCACTTTCAGTTGGACAAATTTTTCTGATATGCCAGAAGCTGAGAAAAGCATATAGATTAAAGGAATGGTTTAGTATTCAAGTATGAAACAATGACTAAAATGGAATACTACTACCACTACTACATCTGCGTGCTTTGTTGTGCATACGTTGAAGATTTGAATTCTATGCATAAATCAATAAATTGGGAAGAGAGCTCACCAGTTGGCCTTGGCTGAAATTTTGTGTTTTAAGCCCTGCCAAAGTTTCTTGCTCATCTAAAGCTTGCAGCTTATCTTTGCCCAGATCTATCACACTAGGGTTAGAAGTTGGAGAATTTGCAGAGGTTGGAGGGTTGAGTTTGGTATGCAACTCTTTTACCAAGTATATTTCAATTTCATTTGCTTGCAGTGCAGTATGGAGAGCAACATACTGTCAACAGGCAATTAAACATCAATTTCAGTGGTAAAGCCAAAATGATTTCAAATTTGAGACAAAGTGCTGTAAAATTGAAAATAACGCTTAGGATGGAAGGAGTACAACCTGACGTAAGTGCCTCACAGACAATGTAGGCCTGCAGCAGAGGTATGGCTGTTGCAAACTTGGGATTCTTTGTTCGTCAAAGGAAACAAGCATAAGGTGGATATCCAACTGAAATAAAAGAGAGTGGTCATTGACAAATCATGTTGGTAAAGAATAAATGAGAATCAGTGAGAAACCATGATAAACTGATAATCTCATGAACAGCAATCATAAAGAAGCTGTGAACAGTATGCACGTTGATGACAAACTTAGTTTTGGATTCATTATGGTCAATAGCTTGCATCAATTTAAAGCAACAAATAAGCAAAGATTGCTAATCATATTAATCGCACTCTCACCAAGAACAAGTCAACCTTACCTGGTCATCTTTTTCCTCCAAGTTCCGGAGATAATCAACTATTTTAGAGAGGCGGTTGTTCCGGGCATTCTTACCGTTTCCACCACTCACACTGCCATGCCGTGTGTGAGACCGCATGCCACCTTTGCCCCAGGCAAGCCTTTCAGAAGGGCCAATGAGTCCAGCAGATGCACCCATGGATTCTCTATTGACTTCAGAGTCATTTTCATCACCACCTCCGTCAGCACTACCAGCAGCTGAAGATTGAGAAAACCGAGCTCCAACCCATCTCTTGGCTCTCTTTGGTCTAACTTCTGTTGAGCGTTCATCAGCAGAAGATGAATTATTGCCTGCATCTCCATTTGCATCTTCATTATCATCAGATCCATGAAGTTCAGTTGTTCGATAGTTTCTCCTCCTCCCCAGAGGAGTATCTCGATAACGACCATTTGATCTCCTCACAAATGCAGCTGCTGTGGCTTTAGCAGTCCGTTTGCGGCCAAGAGCTTCTGTTTGCCGCTGGAAAGTTTGTGCAATGGAAGCTTGGATCTATTTGAAGAAACTAAAAATTTAATGGCTTCAAGCAATATAATTGCACTATGAATACCTAACATAATACCTAACCAGATGGCTGAAATATGGTGCAAGATACTTGTGTTTTACACATGGATAACCTAAGGGTTTACATACAAAAATGAAGGCATGCATAGTTCAAATTGAGATTTTATAATTCTGAAAGTTTAAATATCGATCAGTGGATTCAATGCACAGGGCAAATAATCACTTAAGCATTTCAACTGTTTTCCTTTCTATAGAGAAATGATTGCTATTCCTTGATGATGCATGAAGAACCCAAGGCAAAGAAAAGTGGGCATATAATCACAACAGACAAATAAAACACATATCACTTTTGAGCTTACACAAGCATTCAAAGGAACAAAATGAGAAAAATACCTCTGCCTATAAGCATAAGCCCATAACCAAACTAGCAATATCTCACCTGTTTGTTGCGAGTTGTCTCCTCTTCTTGGAAAGCCAATTCCTAAAGGAGGTATTCAAAATGAAACCTTGAGTTTCAACTAAATAAGGATCAAATTCATATTTTGAAATGCAATAAATAAATGAAATTATACCTCCTCCTCATACTTGTCAATATCTGGATACAAGGCTGCAATTAAGGCATCATAGTTTAGATCGTCTCTCAAAGAGCGACGACTAGCACAGTGCGTGCGGCAGGAAGGACATTCATTGTTCCTACAGTAAATTTCTATTAACATTTTCAATGAAAGAAAGTTCTAAGGCTTACAAGTCACATTTGAACTTGACTAAGTAAGATCACCTCAAAACAAAACTGGCAGGGATATGTAAACTCAATGTTTCAAAAAATGAATAAGGAGAAGGTAAATACTTTAACCATACCCCATTCTCATAGCTTTGTCAATGCATTCCCTGCAGAAACGATGCAGGCATTCCATAACTGTCCGTGTTTTGCGAATGATCCCTAGACACAGAAATTGGGAAATCAATAAGTTTCTAGAATTCACACATACTCATCAATGCTAAGAAGCAAAAGATGCCATGTGACTTATACAAATTAGCTGAAGAACTTAAAGCTCTTAGTCTGCACCCCCATCACAATAACGAATCAGTATCCTTTTAGATAGTTAATGAACTATTCAATTAGATCCATTATTTAACTGGTTACATCGGAGCTGTAATAATAATTAGATGCCAAATTTTGGTTTTTAAGTCATGTTGCACTTAATTTATTTGCAAAACATAAAACGGGCTCAAATAAATAATCTGTTAAAGAAACATGAGTAAGTGCAAGAAAAAAATGTTCAAGTTTGAAATAGCTAAACTGTCTTGTACCCAAATAAAGATTGACAAGAGGAGAATTTTAAATTGGGAAAGAAAAGTGCTTATCATGGATATGAAGAGCAACGAGATGACAGAGTTTACCTAGAAAAGTACTTATAACTGTTGAACATGACATAACTAATAATGGTTAGAGAGAAGGGACGTAAAAGAAGTAGAATGAGGTAAACATGAGAGAAAAACATTGAAGCTGGATATTTTCGGTATGCTTGTGCAGAAAGTTCTGATTAAATTACCACTTCAACCAAAAATTATGCTATGAGCCAATTAACTAAATGCCCAATATTATATTTAAGTCGAACAGACCCATCATGTGTAACATGAATCCAATTTTAAAGTCACAATGGATTCAAAGACTGTCGAGCAAAGAAAACAAAACCAAGAGACATGAATGAGTGAATTGAAACATATGCGGGATCAAACTTGAGAATTTGAGCTCTATTATTATGTTAAGTAACCATTTGACTTAACAACTTGAGCTATTAGGTAAGAGTCTAACATATATATGTTTCATATCTTTATTCTAACAGTTCTAACAGCACCCTCTTATATAATTGTTCAAAAGTGTTTGAATACTTAAAATAAAGATGGACAAAAAGAGAGAGATAATAAATTGATTCCTAAGTTGTGGAGATACCAACTTGGAACCTTGCTTAACATATTCGCACATAATTGGTTATGAGCTAAGTGAAAAGCTATATACATAGAATAATTCAGAGATTGCGGACAATCCACGACTTTGTATCAGTTACAATATATGGCAAATGCTATAAATCCACATGAAGACTATGTAAAGTTTTGTAGATAGAATGTAATCTGCTAATCAGTGGGTTATATAACATTCAATAAGCATTTTACTTGGACAAGCAAACTACACACTCTTGCAAAGACCAACTCTGATCAGTATCTAAGTAAGACCAATTCAAACTTTGTTCTATAAGAAACCTTGAGCGAAAATATATGGGAAATTTTCCTGTTTCCATTAATCATCTCCTCTTCTTGATGGGAAATAATACAAACTCCAAGTTATAAAAAACAAATGTAGAGCTACAAGCCAGAAAGCTGAAGTTGCAAGTTAAATTTAAGATTTTCATTAAAAAGGCAATACCACCGGTGACCAGCCAGAGATCTCCAGTGTATCTGACAGTTGAAGCTTATGCCTCTTGAAAACTTCTAAATGATTGAAACTAGTAAACTCATTTGGTTTCTTAAGAGTCACCAAATACAAAAGATCCATGTCTTATGTCTCAGATTAAGGGCTGAGCCACAATAAAAACACATTTATGTAACTTGTATGCAATAGAAAGCTTGAAACATAACAATATATCATTGCGGGAAGGTTAATCTCAATGATTCAATACTATGATAGAAGTTCTTATTCATACTTACCAAACTAATACTTGTGTCCAGAACTATTGAATAACTTTCCTTGATAGAATATTACAAGTCCTAAAAGAACCCAAACCTAAATATAAAGCCTAGGAGGACACCCAAGGATCAAAGTTTATATAGAATATACAGCAGAATCAAATAGTGGCAATATATAATTTATTAGTACGTAGAAAGTAAACATAGTTAACAAAGCATCATAGAATCTTACCCAGACATATAGGACATTGCACTTCCTTGCGTATATCAGACAACTTTACTAGGACAAACCTGTGAACAAACACCAATGCAGGCCTTTTAGCATATCAGAGACTGACAATTAAAATATAGGTTCACCAATGTAACTATCTCTTAGTAGGTGCATGAATTAGACAAGATTCTATGAGTCAAGTGATTGAATAAAAACACATGCTTTGCAGAAAAAAAGGATATTCTAAACCTTCAGATCAGGAACATCATAAAACTTATACACAAGCAAATATAAATGAGCAATCAAGTGGCCAAAAAATTAAAAATAAACAGAAATGTAATCATCATATGGCGATATTATGAAAAATTGTTTCAACAACAAACTTGGTTTCTGCTAATTCCTCTAAGTGTGTCTAATCACATTTAAACGTGAAAGTAGCCGCTCTTGGACTGATAAAAACCTTTCAATGAAAACACAACAAAAGGCATCAAGAAAAAATAACAAATCGACAATAAATACATAGGTCATGTTGCACTTTCTAGCACATTTCCCTTGAAAACATGGAAATACAAGTTAATAACAGAGTTTTCACTACAAATTTGACAGCAGTGTGGTCCTTATAATCAATCTAACCAGAATAGTCATTTGAATATCCAGTATTTGGAGCCTCCAGCAAAGACAGTATAAGAAGGCATGATCCACTCCTTTACAAAAATGGAATTTTCAAAAAGCTAATTTGACCCATCTTCATAAGCATTAGGCTTCTTAACAAAAAGAAACAAGTGGCTTAAAATGACCAGGTGAGACATCAGTAGCACACATCAAAGATACCAAAAGAAACCCAAAGTCTGACTTTCTGAAAGATCAAGCCCATTCTGTTTCAAGTAACATGACAGAGAACCATTATCTACCACAAAATCTGCATCATCATCTAGAGAAGTAGTTGATGGAAATATTTAATAAATTGATCATATATTCACATCCTCCTCAACCGATCAACACCATCATTCAGCATTAAGAGTGACACTACCATAGATTAAATGGTTTACAGAGAACAATTTATACTTGTTAATACACCCTATCAGTGCTTCGATTTGGACTTCCAACTTTCCAGTTTTGAAGAGATATGATTCTCACATACATGAAGTGTGAATAGAAAAAGGTACTGGAGTCTGGAAGGCAACTAAAACTGTACAAAAACCACCTTAATTAAAACATAAAAAATATCAATTGCTACCATCGAGCATTTCATGCAAAGAGGCAAAGTAAGAATATGTATTAATCTTTTGGTTGATCTTGCTACTTAGTGATCGACATACTCACACAATGCATCAAAATGAAACTGTATTACCACTAAAGTCAACTGGGGCTTTCGAGAAAACCAAAACTCACCACAGTAACGTCCCAGTAGATCTTGAGACACACAAGCCAACACTGTGGCCCATGAATCATTACAATACATAGCAATATCACCGCGACATCTCAATTGACTAAAACAACAACAGAATTAACTTCCACCCAGTAAAATGCATTACCAAACCAAGCTTAAATTGATGTACAAGGAGTTACCCACAGCTCAAACGCAACCCAGCCGTTACATTACCACAACACTTCTAATCAACCACCCCATGCAAAATTTAACCGCTAAGTCGAAGCTACATAACCAATCACAAATCAAACTTTGACGCATACTGTCACGTTCTACACAAAAACCAAACTATGCCCGCTTTCAACGAGTAGAAGCTAGCACAAAATAGAGCCACAAATTATAGCCCACGAAACCCATATCGAAGTTCCTTAAACGTAGTCGCAAATGTAAGAAACAGAAAACACAGAACATGCAGATCGCGCAATCGAGCTCAGAAAACGAGTAAAAGTAACGAAACAAACATATGAAGAAACAAACTCACTCGTCTTTTTCCTCGTTACCAGACGAACGGCTTCGATCAGATTCTGATAACAAGAAAAACAAAAGTAAAAACGAGGATCAAAACCCAAAGCAAAATGCACACAGAAAACTTACAATTACGCAGAGTCATGGTTTCATTATTTCCTTAATAATAATAACAATAATATAGTCACACAAAACGTACCGTTGCCATCCACATCAGCATCAGCAGCAGCGGCAGCAGCTGCTCCTGCAGCACTAGTTTCGGCATAGTGGTGGTGGTGGTGGTTGTTGGCGTGTTGGCGTTGCGGGGAATCATGAGCGTCGTCGGGTGGGGGAATGGAGGAGTTGTCGTAAGAACGCTTCTGAGCTGGCATTGTGAGTAAGAGTTGTGGTGGGTGTTGGGGGTGTATTTGAAAATTTTAAAAAGTGAGAATCTGTGTATGTACAAAGTGAAGAAAAGGATCGTTGCTGTTGGTGGTGGTGGTGATTTGTGTAGGAGAGAAGGTGGTGAGAAAGAAGAATATGGCTTGACCTGTGTAGAGAAAGAGAGAGAGAAAGAGGCGGATGGGCTGAGGTTAAGGCTCGTGCTTTCTCTTACCGAATTTCTATTTGTAAACTGCTTTTTTTATGTGTACATTTATACAGTGTTATACTGGTCTTTGTAAGGGAGTTGGGATTGGTTGTGGTTGGTCAACACGTGGCCCAATCAGACTGTTTTGATTTTTTTAACACAATAAGGGTTGAAAATTTTAAATTACTCTTTTCTGTATATGTAAATTTAACACATTTTCACGTTCCCTACACCAAAAACAATATATTAATATTTACTTAAATATAAAATTTATTTATTTAATTAAAATCATATTATTTAAGAGTTTTTGTTACAATGTTATCATCATTAATTAATAGTTGAAAAAGTAACATCTTGTTTTCTTTGAGTTACACAACTCCTTGTAATGTGAGGTTTTTAACGCGGTAAAAAATATACCAAACTTTATATTTAAAAGACTATTGAGTGTATTATTCAAGAAATTTTGAATTTGAGATACTCTTCGGTTGTTAATAGAAGTGTCACTAAAACTCTCATCCGGTCAGTAATTCTAGGTTCCTGAGAGATTAGTTAACCAATGCGTAGATGGCCGAATAGTTCACTTATGATTTTTGGTTGTATTACTCAAGAGTTATTGAGTTCAAATCTTTTCCCTATTGCTAATAGGGGTGGTCATTGAAGTTCTTATCTAATTGATAATTCCAAAGTCCTGTAAAATTAGTTGAAATATGTATAATCTGATCCGGATATCCTTGATTATTAATAAATAAATAAATAACTAAGCTGAGTGAAGTGACGATGTGTATTAACGCCATCTTAAGACATGGAAGATGATTAACTAATTTGTGCTTAAAAGGGAATTGAAGTGATTCTTAATTGATGATTCGAAAGAGTGCAAAGGTACGTAGATTATAGTTATGAATTGGGATTTTATAGCTCAAATAATATTTGATTTAGATGTCTTTTTATGCTTAAATGCTTAGTGAAATGGGTTTAATTACACACTGCACACACAATTAATTATTTATTCATACCAAATCAAACACTTATTTTGTAATTTAATCAATTATCTTTTAATGATCATTATTGTAATAAGATCTTCTTCACAGTTAATAATTCATAAATATAATTATAATATTACAAGTGTATAGATAAAATAATATATAATGAAAAGAATTAACAAAAAGGAAAAAGAAAAAAATAGAGCAAATTAAATTGTTTACTGGTATTAAAGCACGTGAAAGAAAGGTTGAAGAGTGAATGGATTTGGTACATGCATATTATTAATAATGGATGTGCTCCGTCTGATTGGTCCAGGCTTGAGATGAGAAGCAATTATATAATTCAAAGCCCAAGATCCATCGCTAAAAGACAACCAGAGGAATCTATAATCCCAATTATATCTCTATCTGGTTTTATATATTTATTATTTTTATCTTAATTACTAATTTCATTGACAGATTTTTTCCTTTACTAAAAAAACATACGTCAGGTATTCATGTATTACTTATCTGCTCAAGGACACCAAATCTTATTGAATTAATAAATAATAAAAAAAGTTTTTTACTTTTTACTTTTTACTTTTAGATGGGTCGGTCAATTTGAATGGGTCATCAGCCCCCACTCGTCTCTTCATAGGTTAGTGTATGTATATATCTAGTGTACTCTAAAAAGAAAGTACTAAAATATTGAATATGAAATAGGAAACTATAGATTATGGGAACATTTTAATGCTCAATAATGTTATGCTTACTCACGAACTTACTAACCATCTTACTAACTTTTGTAAAGAGTAAACGACATGTTCCCACCCAAGGTTAAGTGAAATCACAGGTCGGTACCCCTGATTTCATAAATTCCAGATTCCCACCCTTAAACAGACGTTGTTAGTGACAGCATAGAGACAAATGGTTCTTTTACCAAATTACCCTTGGACCTTCTCCTTCTTCATCTCCCCTTCTGTTCTTCAGAACCCATTCCAAACCCACCACAGCCGACCCTTATTTTTTCCCAACACCAGCTAGCCAAACCACCACCACAGTCGACCCTTCTTCTTTCCCAACACCAGCCGGCCAAACCACCACCACTACAGCCGGCCATTCTTTTTTCCCAACACCAGCCAGCCAAACCACCACCATATTCGGCCCTTCTTCTTTCCCAATACATTCACCACAACACACAACAGTCAAAATAAAACATCAAACAAAATACAAAACTAAAAACTAAATCAAAAATCAGTTCCACGACCCAATCAAACTCCCATTTCAACTAATTTCACAAAACCCAAAGTTGAGTGGCGGCGATGAACGACGAGCAATCATGGTCAGGAAGGTTGGGGATTTTGAAGGAGAGATGCTTGTGAGTGCAAGGGTGGTGTCGTTTGGGGTTGAGGCCGCCAAAATCAACCAGAATCCGACTGGAGACAATCACACAGTGCATAGAAAAACCTAGTTGTGGTCGGCATTTTCCAAGTTGGAATGGTGGTTTCAGTTGAGAAAAGGCTGGAGTTTTGTTGTGGGAGGTTTAAAGAGGCACATGGTGGTGGTTTTGGATGAAAAAAAAGCTGGAAAAGTGGCAAAAAGGATGACGGCTGGACTGATTTCAGAATACGCCCAAGGTGTGCTTTGCACGATCTGCAGGGTGGGGGATCAAGGGGTTTTGGTGGGGTGGGGTTGGGAGATTGGATGGTGGTGGCAGGGCGTCAAGACGCCATTAGAATCAGGCGGGTGGCCAGAAATGTAGCCATTTTGAGATGGAGTTTTGAGATGTGAAGGGAAAAAGAAGAAGATGGGAGGAGGTAGAGATGAAGAAGAAATGGGAAGGGAAGAGAGAAGAAGGAGGAGAAAAAGACCATTTTAGCCTTTAACGGTTAAAATAAAGGAAACAATGTCCATTTAAGGGTGAGAATCTGGAATTTATGAAACCAGGGGTACCAACCTAGGATTTCACTAAACCTTGGGTTGGAACATGTCGTTTACTCCTTTGTAAATATAAAGCATAATACATGTACCATAAACATAGTATGAGTATCATATGTAATTTTAACAAAGGTGGGTAAAGTGGTTAGTAAGTTCGTGAGTAAGCATAGCATTACTCTTTAATGTCACACTTACTACTTTAATCTCAAAGTCTTAACAGTAATTAAATCTTTACAACTTAACTACCTTTGGGTGGTGGAATGATTTTATAGGGACTCTTGAATGTACTACTTAAGAGGTTTTGAGTTTGAATTTATCTTTAAAAGTTTAGCTTTAAGACCTCATGAAATTAATTGAAATGCGCTTAAACTGGTCGGATAATAAGAAAAAATAAAAATAAAAACTTTGCAACTTTTTGGAAGTTCTTTGGTGATTGGTGCCTCTAAATCTAATTAATGATAATAATTGTTTGAAAATACCATTATCAAACTGTCCATCATTTTGTTTGCCTCTTTTTCCTCATCCCACCAACATTAATCAATTATCAATAATTAGTACAAATATGTCGAAATCTTACATTAATTCATCTTCTAAATCAATTAAATAAAGTCTTTCATATAATACTCTCATTATTATAATTACAGACTTTATAATAATACAATCTACAAATTATAAAGAAAATAAATTAATAAAAATTCAAAGAAAAACTTGAACATCATATTATTTTATTTATTTATTTATTTCGGTAATCAGAGTATTCAACTAGCTTGTATATACCTCAACTAATTTATATGGTCCATTAAACATTTTACAAATCTAAAAGATCAGGTAAATCATAATATGATAAATGACCTTAAGGTTTGAACCCAGAAAATCAATGAAATGAGCAAACTTTCTTAACCGTCATACCAATCCCTTTAGTTTAAGATTATATTATTTTTTTGGATAATCGAAGTGTCCGGATCAACTTGCATACACCTCAATTGATCTTGAATCTATATTTTGGGATTTATTGAACATCCTACCAATCCAAAAAATTAAGTAAATTATAATAGGTAATTAAAAAAACTGAAAGAAGAGATCTCTTGATCATCGGACCAACCTTTTCGGATTGCATTATTATTAGCTAATAAAAATACATATATGAAATTTTTCCGGAAGGGTCCACCTCCCAGTCCACGCACGTCCCAGACGACGAGCTTCACGACGTCGTTCCTCTTATCTACTTCGTTAGGCGTGCAACCATGAACTATCTCTTTCTTCCCCTGTAACTTAAAGACAATCTTATTTCAATCCAAAATACTTACTCCCAAGACTTCACTGCAACATACAACCTCCAAATCTCCGCTAAATCCGCATGGGTTTTTCAGAAACGGCCGGCTTTTCGCGGAACTTCGGTGTCTTAGTCAGAGTTCAAGGCCCTGTAAGTCCATTAAACGTATGTTTATTTATTTATATTTTTAACTAGTCCCTGAATAATTAAATTCTTTTTCTTTTTTTCCATTAAATTTTAGGACCCCAAAGGTCTAAAGATGCGAAGACACGCTTTCCATCAATACAAGTCAGTTGATTTAATTTGATTTGATTTTTTATTTAATTTCATTTTTTTGTTTGAGTTGACTGTTTATTGGTGTGTTAATGTGTTTTAGTTCCGGCAAAACGACACTTTCAGCTTCTGGGATGTTACTGCCCAATAACATCTACGATGCTGACGTGCGTGAACGAAATTGGGGAGTCAATGGATTGGTTGTGACTGTTGCTTCTGTTGTTGAGCCGTTTTTGTCTATGCAACACAGGGAGAAGAATGTTTTTGAGGTGCAAACTCTGTCGTTTTGGTTCTAGATCACGTTTGCTTGCCAATATTTGTTGGTTTTAGAATAATTGTCGGTGCTTATTGTTTATTGCAGGGCCGTCCAGAGTTGATTTCGGGTGCTCAGGTTGATGTTATGGTGGAGGTATAAGATGATATATAGTTGTTTTTTCAGTTGAAATTGGGAATTTTTGTTATAGTAGATTTATAGAATTGGATATGATGTGTTAGTTTTTTAATCTGTAGGGCACATTGAGGTCGGAGACAGGACACGAGTGTCTGGATAAAGGAGTCCCTGGATGGGTTAGTGCGCAAGTTATAAAGTTGGTGAGTGTTCAAATTATCTACATTTTGTTTGTTGAGTTGAATGTTCAAGAGCCTTATAAATTGGTAGTAAATTGTTTGTTGATTTAATATCAGGTTGATTTAAATTTCTCATGTTTCTTTGGCAATAAGTGTAGTTTCAAAACATTATGAGATTAATGGATATGATTATCAAAGTTACGTTAGGTGCATATTCATCACTATAATTGGGGTTTTGGAGTCAATGGAAGCAGTCATCAGGTGGATGATTATTTCAAAGTTTCAAGCTCTGACATTTGTGATATTATACTAATGAATTGTACCATTCGCCATGGGTGATGCTTCCAATATTTGTATTGAACCCATGTTGATTATGACTTTCTGATTTGAGGCTTCAGTTTCTATGTGGAATATATTAAGCCATATGAACAACTGTATATACATGAAATATGAGCAGTCATATGTTGCAATAAGTTATTATGTACTTCAAATTCAACTACAATATCACATTAAATGTTTGTAATTATCTGTGGCACTGGAGATGATAATTAATGATGTGGTGAGCATTTTATGTTGTTCCTTAAATTTATTGTTCTTGACAATATATAATTGCATGTAATATGCTTTTGATGCTGGGATCAATGCAATGTGAAGGTTCACATCCCTGTATCTGCCCTTGCTCTTCAATCACTTATTGAAGCTTCTTCAGGCTCACCAGAGCATGGATGGGAGATTGGTTGGTCCCTGGCCTCATATGATAATGGTTCTCAGCCCTTGATGGATGTTATTCGGACTCAGGTCAGTAGTGCATGAGGTTTTTCAATTTCTTTTGCATGTGTTTATCTTAGATTAGTTTTTGGAACTTTTTCCTTGAATATGAGTTTTGTATTGGTATTTCAGATTAAAATTTATCTGACCTAGAATAAGTTCTACAAGATTATATACATATAATGATTTAAAGGCATCTACCAGTAGCTATCTAACTTGGTTGGCATGATGTAGAGATGTATCCTGTCCAATAGGAATATATTTTTCTGGATTTTAAACAGTTGATTGATGCTTTATTAAGTAGAAAGGTAAAGAAGTGCTTGTCTCTATATGTCTGCCATTTTGTTGTGTTGCTTGTATCAGAAACCAAAATTTGTATGTATGAGAATGTATGTTTGGTGATCTGCACGTTATCTATGGATTTCAGATATTATTTTTCTATATTTCTGTTTGAAGCCTTAGATTGAAGCTAAAAACATTGAGTTGTTGAGTGGTAAATTGTCCGACATTCTGTGTTTTTGATAAGAACCCACTCCAACAACTCAAACAATTGGGTTGGGCCTGGGGTCTTTCATGGGCTTTGGTAGAACTCTCCTTAGAAAACTGGCTTGCTAAGGGAGGGTGCCCAAGCCCTTTATAACTTACATGCCCACCCTTTTCCCTTCCAATGTGGGATCCTAATAGTTTTTTTTTCTTCAAGTTATTACTGCATATTCCCTTACTTAGGGGCCGGTGTCTTTATGAAATGATTTGGTTTGAACAAATGATTGAATGTTACTTTCCAAATCTAATGTCATTTGGAACATTTTCTTTGAATCACTGTTGTCTTTTGAGAACATTACCCTTAAAAAAACAAGGACTATTGGTTCCTGTTTTAATTTAACTTTTTCATTTGATTTTGTTTATTCTAATAGCATGAAATGGTGATTTTAACTAATCTTTTCAGGTTGAGCATGACAGCAAACTGTTAGACGAGAGTCGTAGGCATCTGCCACTTGAGGAATCAAATAATCGAAGTCTTTTGGACAAGTCAACTACAAGAATTGCTATCCTTGGAGTTTCCTCATATTTGAAGGTAATTTTGCTGTTAGTTCTTTCCTTTCTTAGCAATATGATTCGGTGAAAACTCGTTATAACAAATCCAATCCCACAACANAACAGTTTTTTTTTCTTCAAGTTATTACTGCATATTCCTTACTTAGGGGCCTGCGTCTTTATGAAATGATTTGGTTTGAACAAATGATTGAATGTTACTTTCCAAATCTAATGTCATTTGGAACATTTTCTTTGAATCACTGTTGTCTTTTGAGAACATTACCCTTAAAAAAAAAAAGGAATATTGGTTCCTGTTTTAATTTAACTTTTTCATTTGATTTTGTTTATTCTAATAGCATGAAATGGTGATTTTAACTAATCTTTTCAGGTTGAGCATGACAGCAAACCATTAGACGAGAGTCGTAGGCATCTGCCACTTGAGGAATCAAATAATCGAAGTCTTTTGGACAAGTCAACTACAAGAATTGCTATCCTTGGAGTTTCCTCATATTTGAAGGTAATTTTGCTGTTAGTTCTTTCCTTTCTTAGCAATATGATTCGGTGAAAACTCGTTATAACAAATCCAATCCCACAACAGACACACACACACACACACAGAGACATACTTGAGGTATATATTAATGTCGAAAGTCACACACACACACACACACAGAGACATACTTGAGGTATATATTAATATCGCAAGTTACACACACACACACACACATACTTGAGGTATATATTAATATCGAAAGTCATACACACACATATATACTTGATGTGTATATTAATATCAAAAGTCACACACACGCACATACATACTTGAGGTATTTATTAATATCAAAAGTCACACACACACACACACACACACACACACACACACACACACACATAGACATACTTGAGCTATATATTAATATCGAAAGTCACACACACACACACACACACACACACACACACACAGAGACATACTTGAGGTATATATTAATATCAAAAGTTGTTATGAATTAGGATCTACCAAACTTAGCCTTATTGCCCTCAAGTAAAAGGGGGGATTCTCTTCTAGCAGTGGGCTCTCCTTTTGGTGTCCTCTCACCTATGCATTTCTTTAATAGGTATGGTTTCTTCACTATAAGTTTCTTTATTTTGGCTTGGTTCTTAAAAATGTCACCTAGTGGAACACCTTTCGATTGTTAGATCTCTCTCTATATACGTCAGAAAATCCTTTGATTTCCACTATTTAATTCTTAGCTGTTTGAACCAGCATATCTATGGGATCTGTTGCCAACTGCTATCCTCCTGGATCATCCACGCAATCATTGCTGATGGCAGACATTCGGTGTCTTCCTGGTATGAGCATTTCTCTGTTATGTTTTTGTGGTCATTTGTTGCCATTCAGATTTTGATTTTATCTTTCACTAAATCTATCAGGAATGGAAGGTGGTCCAATATTTGGTGAACATGCACAGTTGGTTGGTATCTTGATCAGACCATTGAGGCAAAAGAACAGCGGTGCTGAAATTCAGGTAATCTGCCAAGATCCATCTCATTTATTGTTAAATTATCTCATGGTTATTGTATCATACAGAACTGTAGTCTTGGGTAACAGCTGGTGATTCCGTGGGAAGCCATTGCAACTGCTTGCAGTGACTTGCTGCTGAAGGAGCCCCAAAATGCAGAAAAAGAGTTCCATATTAACAAGGGAAACTTAAATGCTGTAGGGAACTCGTTATTATATAGCAGCCATGACTCCAATGGGTCATACTCTTTTAAGTATGAACATCGTGATTCTTGTTGCCTATCTCCACTACCAATTCAGAAGGCATTGGTGTCTGTTTGTCTTATTACAACTGATGATGGTGTTTGGGCATCTGGTGTTCTGCTTAATGATCAAGGCCTGATACTCACAAATGCTCACTTGTTAGAACCATGGAGGTTTGGGAAAACAACTGTAAGTGGTGGTAAAAATGGAAATCAATCGAGGGCATTTCTCTTTGCATCTGAAGAGCCTGCAGCAAGGGCACCAAAGTTTGTGGATTCTTCTGTTGATGGAAGTAGACCATATAAGTTGAGTTCGTTTTACAAAGGCCATAGAAACATACGTGTCCGTCTGAACCATATGGAGCCTTGGATTTGGTGTGATGCTACAGTAGTATATGTTTGCAAGGGACCCTTGGATGTTGCCCTATTGCAGCTTAAATATGTTACACATCAGCTTTGCCCTATAGTTACAGATTTTGCACACCCATCTGTAGGATCAACTGCATATGTCATTGGACATGGACTATTTGGACCCAGATGTGGTAAGGCCTAACTTTGTCATTTGTCTGTGAAAGTCCTGTTGACTATGACACTTTTATAAGCACTGTCTGCTTTCTTGTGTGTGTGATCAATTAAGATTGGCAAGTGTAGGTTATTACATGTATAGCATGCCATCCTTAAGCCTAGAAAATTCTTAACGATGAATACATGATGTGGTTCATGCGATTCTCATCTTGTTTGGTCTAAAGACTATACTGTTCTGTAAGTTTTGCATCTTCAACAATTAAGATACATTGCCAATCCAAATTTAGGAATTTTCTGAACGAGTGACTCTAACCACCTTATTCACACTTGTGTACATACTGTTTAATATGTGACATTTCCTAATGCAATGCAGTAAAAGGACTCATTCTATGCGGTTGATATATTTCCTTATCATGCTTTATATTTGTAATTTTTTACAGAGTAAAAAAATCAAAGTATTTGGTAGATCCTGAATATTTTCTTTAAATTGGTTTCATTTGTTTCTGCTTTGAATTTTGCAGGCCTTTCCGCTTCTGTTTGTTGTGGGGTGGTAGCAAAAGTTGTCAAAGTTAAGTCATCCCCTTATTGTCAATCTATTCTTCAAGGGGATTCAGGGTGTCCAGTAATGCTTGAAACGACTGCTGCTGTTCATCCAGGTGGTAGTGGTGGTGCAGTTGTCAATTTGGATGGTCATATGATCGGACTTGTTACAAGGTACCGTGAATTAGATTGTACAAAGTGAATTTGTGTAGGTTGCCAAGTTTTTTTTTTCACTCAGTTAACATTATGGTTGTCATCACTTTCAGACCATCATATCAACTCCCCCCCATTTAATCACTGATGTGAAGTTTTAATAGAGAGATGCCAGACTATGTTTTAACAGCTTTTTCACAATCCTCAATCTGAAATCCATGCTGTTTGTCCAGCGATTTGACATGGAGTTTTTGACAAACTGTAATAGCATTCATGCAATATCTCATATTTATATTAATCAAAAAATTTCTCCTTTATTATGAACTTTGACAAATAAATTTTAAAATGATTTATTTTGTCGGTTAACTTTCAGTGCTTGTATATTGAACTTATCTAACGAGATGTATTCTTGATACAGTAATGCAAGGCATAGTGGAGGGACAGTTATACCACATCTGAACTTCAGCATTCCATGTGCAGTTTTGGCTCCTATCTTTGAGTTTTCAAGAGGTTAGGAAGCTAAGTAGTGCTTTCATACTTTGTTGAGAGTGAAATTTTCACGGTTGAATTTATCGTTTTATTAAGTAGTTAGTGGGGTGTCAGTAACCAAGAAGAGAACTTACACAGTTATATTAAGCTTTGATCTCAACTTTCTGATGTTTTCTGCTTAAAATTTTTCTGTGCCACTGAGCAACAAAACGAGAATTTTGAGATAATATTTAATAAAAGTCTATATGTATTCTCACTTTATATAGTTGATATGGCGTTGCAGATATACAACTCATTTCAAATTGATATGTAAAACAAGATGAATCATATGCATTCCATGTGTTTGTACTGAAATTTATGATTTTATGGCTGAAGGTGGGGAGATGTTTGTGAGTCTTATGAGTCTTCTTTTTCTTATACAGATATGCAGGATCTTTCACTTCTAAAAAAACTTGACCAACCAAATGAACACCTTGCTTCAGTGTGGGCACTGATGCCACCATTATCTCCAAAGCCAGGTCCTACGTTACCTCATCTGCCGCAGTCACTATTGGAAGCAAACAAAGACGGGAAAGGTTCCCGTTTTGCTAAATTCATTGCTGAAAGTCAAGAGGTTCTAAAAGGGTCGTCTCAAATCAGCAAGCCAGAAAAAAATTCCGGTGAGATTTTTCGTAGTAAGTTATGACAACCTGGCATCACTCTTGTACCCAATAAGAAGGAATATGATCAGTATGATCAGAATCTGATATCATAGTCCAATGTAATGGTGAGTTTCACTCTGCCTGATCTCAGCGCATGGACTGATAGAAGAATTAAAAGGAATGGTTGGAATTTCAATTTCTTTCGGGCAATGGAAATTTGTGGCTTTATCATGGTTGAGATAAATGTAACAGGGAGGTTGTGTACTGAACAATAGTGTATTGTTGTGCACTTGTACTTATGTACCACTGTGAGCGATATATGTATAATAGGGCATTAGATGGGTACGAAATTCTTTCATTCTTGTTCCATAAATGTTTCCAGTTACAATAAATTGTATAGTTAAGAATATATTTCCATTTAACTCCTGTTGTCGAGTATCAAGGGAAATCATATACTATTGGTTTGTTAAGTTGAAGGTCATTGTGTTTGGTAACAATTTGTTAGCATTTTTGTGGGCTTGCGAATCCCAATATATTTGGATTCTTGGATGGTGAAATGGGAAGGAGATTATTCAGATTTTTATTCTTTAAGAGAGGTGAAGGAAGCATAAATTTTATTATGCAATTATAATCTTTTTTTTCAATGTTTTAAAACCCAACTCGTGGTGAAACCCGACAAAGTGGTTGGGTCTCAGGTTGACTAGTTTAACCGGTTTGATTGGCGGGTCAAACCGGTGTCCAAAGGTTTAAAATCTAACAAAAATATCTCTGAAAATTATATGTAAGTCTTTATATGTTTGAAATCTTGCAAAAACACTCCAAACACCACCATCAGCGTCTGCAAATAGGGTATGTTTTTAGCGACGACAACACTCCCCATCACCAAAAAAACACTCCTCTCAGTCTCATGACCAAAACCCATCTCACCCCTCCCCCGTTCACCTCCCCAATCAATGGCGACAACAAGATTTTTCCACTAACATTATTTTGCAATTTTCGGTCGATTCACTCACCGAAAATTGATGTAGTTGCCACCATTGCACTCACCGACAGTTTTTCTTCAAAAGCCCTAACATTCCAGCCTTTAATAGTTTACGGATTGATATCCTAATTTCTAAGATTTTGAATGAATAGGAAAATTTGTAACTCGACCCGGTGAAGGCTTTGGGTCTCGATTCAACCAGTTCAATCGGCTGGATCAGGCCGGGTTTTAAAACAATGTTTTTTTTTGGGTAGCCGGGAGTGTTTGAGTCAACTTGCGTGTATTTTAAATAATTCCTCAAGGTCTTGAAATTAACGATCGGGTAATTCTCCAATAGCCATCCTCCCTATTAGCAATCGAGATGAATCAAACTTAGGACCTCTTGAGTAATACACCCAAGAGTCTCTATTCAACCACTCGATTACCTAGGGTTGGTTATGCAATAATAATCAGTAATGGATTGGGGAGTAATTTGGCAAGTGTCATCACAACTTGATGAATGTCATAACATCGAGGAAGATAAAATTGGGTATGAACTTGACATATACGAAATTGCCCAATTTTTGTAGCAATTTGATATTTATCTATCTCACTTTCAATTTCAAATTATAACAATTTGATCTTGATAAGATTAATTTAATTATAACCCATCTTTTGTTTTAACTATACCATTTTTTAATCACTAANTTGAAGTTAATGACCGGGTAATTCTCCAATAGCCCATCCTCCCTATTAGCAATCGAGATGAATCAAACTTAGGATTTCTTGAGTAATACACCCAAGAGTCTTTATTCAACCACTCGATTACCGAGGGTTGGTTATGCAATAATAATCAGTAATGGATTAGGGAGTAATTTGGCAAGTGTCATCACAACTTGATGAATGTCATAACATCGAGGAAGATAAAATTGGGTATTGTTGATACGTGATTTTGACACCAACTAAACACACGTGAGAAATGCTGAGCTGGCTCAGGAGACACGTGTGTATGGGGGTATTGAACTGAATAGAAGAAGAAGAACAATGTTTAAAGTGGTTCGGATGATTAAGTGAGCGAATCCTACGTCCACTGGTATTGTATTAATATATTTGAGATCAAGTCGCGTTCAACGAGCTGATTTACAAGAGGTTACAAGAGAGAGAGAGAGAGAGAGAGAGAGAGAGAGTAAATGCTATTCTGGAGAGAAATTAGCTAATCTCACAAACGGGAGAGATTCTCTTTATTTATAGTGGGATGAATTGAGATAATGATTACGAAATCAGGGAGTGGGTCAGATTGCCATGCAAATCCTTCTTTGCGTCTCGTTGCTCACCTGCTCGAGTGATTTACTCGACTCTTGCAGGGATTGGACACGTGGATCGTCCCCAGCCTTTCACCAGCCTGGCGCACACCTACTGTACTGGCGGGAGCATGCCGCTTGCGTCAACGTGCGACGTGGCTTCGTCTGAATGGCTACTGGACTTACCTAAGCTCTGACCACTTATGTTGATAGGGTTTGCGTCATCCCTACTTTTCCAGGCATAACAGGTATGAACTTGACATATACGAAATTGCCCAATTTATGTAGCAATTTGATATTTATCTATCTCACTTTTAATTTCAAATTATAACAATTTGATCTTGATAAGATTAATTTAATTATAACCCATCTTTTGTTTTAACTATACCATTTTTTAATCACTAAATATAATTTATTTGTACCCATATATAGTGCGCCTTAAATGTGGAAGATTTTGATTAAGAAAAATTATTCATATATAAAATACATGATCAAATGACAGTCTTGCAATTGCAAGGTTTAACACTATTTAGTTTTTACTTAAATCAGCTTTAAACATCTCATCCAACTTCCAGAGAAGGAAATCGTAAAATAAAATAAAATAAAAAGTAGGCAACTGTCTTTTTAACTTTTAGTAAAATGCAGAATGAGCGCTGCAGCAGTTCCCACTCTCTCATGGTGGTGGTTGATCCATCCAAAACTTAAACTAACAAGTGAGAAAAAGCGTGGGCGGTGATGTGGACTCCAATCATTCACTTTTCTTTACAAAAACCCCAAGAGTTTTAGAGAAAGTAAGGACTTGTAAGATTCCAAAGAGAGAGAGATGGCAGAGAGCTCCGGTTACAAGGATTATGTGGCTGGCTTATTGGCCGGTGTTGCTACCGTTATTACTGGTCATCCTTTTGATACTGTCAAGGTAACTTATTCTTACACTTGGACTCACAAAATTGTGGTGTGCTTGTTTTCTTTTACTTGTGTATTTGGAGGTGAAATTGGTAACCCTTTTTTTGTCTTTCAATAGTGTTCATTTTGTTTGTAAATTTCTTGCTAACTGCATGGACTGTAGTTTAAATATTGATGTTTTGGCATTTTTGAATGTGGGTATGTGGTGAACTTTGTTAGGTGAAGCTGCAAAAACACAATACTGAAACTCATGGGATTCAGTACAAGAATGGATTGCATTGCACTGCAAGGATACTGAGCACTGAAGGAGTATGTTTCTTTAACTTAATTTTGTCTTTATGATAGATGAACTAACAGTTGTGTTGCTTCTTCCTTTATTTTGACATTGATTGCTAGATTTACATATATTTGGGTAGAAAAAAATATTTGCTACATATTTTAATTTCAGTGGTAATATGATGTGTTATGTTAGGGCTTAGTAAAACCCCATTGCGAACAAACCCTCTGTTTGATAAATTTGTTTTTTTTTATTGTGAGGCGACTACTTGGGAAACCCTCAAAAAGTGGTAGAGTTTGAATAGAATCCACTATTGTATGCTCCTCTAATTATTTGTTTGCATGTTGTGTTGACACTGACAGATTTCATTAGTCTGTTAAGTTTAGGGTGGCTTTCAGATAATTCCTCCTTGTACCTTGGTTCGATATGATCAAGTAGAAGTTTTATTTTTCTTTAATTGATGAAACGCTTTGCCTTTGAATTTGAAAAAAAGTGTTCTTTCATTGTTTGTGTCCATGGGTTTGAAGTGTTGGAATACCTTGATTTCATTATAAGCTGTTTCTTAGTTAGCTTTCTGTGGCCAATTTAGCACACGTTAGACTTAGTTTGAAAATCTAAGGCTTTAATGACCGTGGCTTTTAATAATTACTTTTGCTATTTATACTACCTCCTAGTCATCATACATACTGGAGAGAAAGGAAGTTGATGAGAATTTTTTGAATTAATGTTATAATTGATATTGTATATTATCTTAATATTTTTCTGATGTGGTGAATCATCATGTCTAAAACTATTGTTTCATATTGTATCTCTTTGGTTGTTGAGACTGAGAATGCATGTCTTACTGGGTCATAATCACTTTTTTAGGAAACTCTTCTCTCATAACAACAAAAACTAGACAGAGAAACAGAATGGCCTATTTATATATTTCTACGCCCTAGTTGCTATGGAATGTTGCAATTTTGATTAATGTAATGTATTTCTTAATCTATATGTGATGGTTGTATCCCCACTGTGAGTATATATGTCAATATGGTCTCATTCTAAGGTCCTTCACTACCCTATTTCCAACTCTGCTGACTTGTAATGGGTCTATAAATTGTAGGCTTCAGGATGCATGATTATAGTAGTAAATTTGATGATCTCTGTAATATCCCACGGAATCTCAAAATGTGCTTGATACTTGGATTACTTTAGAATGGCATTTTCAATAATCTTTGGTACCGTTCCTTCTCCTTGGCCCTTAATTCTTCACATTTATATCTTCTCCAGAAGAATCACTGGCAGTTACATTGACAGGTTAAGGGACTGTACAGAGGAGCAACACCATCTTTTGTTGGCATGGCTTTTGAGAGTTCACTTCTTTTTGGCATCTACTCCCAAACAAAACAACTTCTGCAGGTTTGTATGATTTACAGATGAGATACCTACAAACTAGTACTTTAATAATTCTGTTGATATATTTCTTTCAAGGTGTTGGTGCATCTAATTATGTATGTTTGAACTTCTTCTCCTTCTCAGGGAGGAGTACAAAGCAATGGGCCTCAATCCCAAGTAATAATTCCTTCTGCTGCTTTTGGCGGATCTATTATCAGTTTTGTTTTGTGTCCATCTGAGTTAGTGAAGGTAAGTGATTGGGAAGTTACATATCATACTTTACTTTATTTTCCTTTATAATCAACATTGTTACCTACAGTATATGTGTGACACTGAGCTTCTCCAGTGTAGGATGCAAGTTCAAGGCACAGACTCTTTGGTTCCAAATTCCAGTAGATACACTAGTCCTCTTGATTGTGCACTTAAAACTGTAAAAAGTGAAGGGGTGAGTAAATTCTTTTCTTCTGGCAACTAAATAGTTTTGTGTAATTATTGAGCTGATGGAATGTGTTTCAGGTTATAGGCATTTTTCGCGGGGGATCTACAACACTGTTAAGAGAAGCTTTGGGAAATGCTGTCTTTTTCAGTGTCTATGAGAATGTTCGTTATTACATGCATTTACAACTTAAAGCTGTTTCATCTAACCACAGCAACTTGATTGACATGGGAATTGGGATTGTGAGTGGTGGTCTTGGCGGTGTAGCTGTAAGCACCTTGACACCCTTACATTGCAATTGTTTCATTTGTGAACCCACTGACATTATTAAATTTTGTTTTATCATCTATGTTTCATAGTTCTGGTCGGCTGTTTTGCCTTTGGATGTGGCAAAAACTATTATCCAGACTGATCTTGAGAAAAATTCCACTAGAAATCCTTTTCAGATTTTAAACTCGGTAAAGTATTTTGATTCCCTCTATTTGCTTTTTCTAGGGCTAACCTCTCCACACCTTAACCCACATCTCTGGGAAAGGTAGGGAGAGGGAGGGTTGCAGGGTATAGAAAGGGCTCCATAATTTTCAAAACAATAAAGAAGAGAGGCTAATTTGGTCACTTTTGTAGATTTACAGGAGAGCTGGATTGAAGGGATGCTATGCAGGTTTAGGTCCTACAATAGTGAGGGCCTTTCCTGCTAATGCAGCTGCAATTGTCGCCTGGGAGCTATCCATAAAATTGCTGGGGATCAGGCATAACTAGGTATTGTATTCCATCTACGTACAAGGTGCTTCTAACTTTTTGCTTCTGTTATTAGCATGGAGGCCTATATATATCAGAAGACTCTTGACATAACTGATTGGCGGTTTATTGATGTGGTATCAGAGCTTGATTTTTGTAAGAGTGCATACTCTGATCTGTTAAAGTGATAATTTAGCATTAGAGTGGTTGGACAAACGAATGGCAATTGAGCTGTCTGTTTTTCCCCTTATTGTCAGGGGCCATTTTACTTGACCTATTTTCACAATACAGAAAGGATTTTGGAATTGTTTTGTAGATGTCCCTGAATCTTATGCGCTGTCCAAGCTTGTTGAACTTGGTCACAGCAATTTGTTATGTGATTTTCTACTTCAGTGCGACTGCATTGCCCGTATGAAAATACTCAAATCTTTGTGACTTGCAATACTTATATTTATGTTGTGCTTAATTTCCCAGCTCACTTTATTGTTCACAGTTTAATTTGCTAGTAAATCTGAGTTGCATGTTGGCAAAGAAGTTTTCTTTCTAATTTCTTCAAGTAACTTACGAAGGGAAATTTGAGTTGTAAAAACAGATAAGATAATTTGAAATAACATCAGGTCAGGGGCCTATGCAAGTTGCGGTTTTGGTTTTGATTCTTAAACTAATCACTACTTTTGATTCAAACCAGAATTTTCCGTCAACTAATGGCTGCTAAGTGCTAGATTAGCTGAATCAAAACATTCCACAGAAGGCGGCTGAGTCTGACTGTAGCATACTATTTTATATCTACTCTCACTTTCACTGTCTTCAGAAATTTTCAATGTGGTTACTAAATCTGAGTAGGCCATGCCATGCACATATGGAGAACTTCTTGCAGTAAATTATTTTTGTTATTATTCTTAATATTTACGTCCTCTCCCCTCCTTTGTACAAAAGTTTTGAGGTGCATCATCGGCTTTAAGAAACTACTCAAACCCAAAATCCGAGAGTTACAAGCACGAACTCGTGAAATGGAATTAATTCCCTCTTGCCGGGGACAAGTATTGTGATAGATCTCCATACTCTGAGATGGTGTAACTATTTAATTGGAAAAAAAATAACATCATTCATTTGATCAGACAGGGTTTTCGGGCAGCCCCATGTCAAGCAACCAATTTGCTCGCATGCAAAATCTTGTGTCATAATTTGACAGCAATCAGGGGGCATTTTATTTAGAAACCTGGCTGATAGCATATTGTTGAGCTGCTCTATCTTATCTGATGAATCCCTACATGAAGTTCCTAAACTAAAATTTTTAATTATGTACAGAGACATTGAAAATTGAAATGCATGTGAATGGAGCAAGAACCACAACAGAGAAGCAAAAATTTACCCAGAAAGTTTACTTAAATATAGGCACCGCAAAGCTTAAGAGCATGATATTCTAGCTTGAGATAATAATGTTTATTATAGATAATAACGGGGCACCATTTATCAAGTGGTGCACGATGATAGATAGATAGATGACATTATTGTTGACAGAAGAGAGAGAGCATCCAAGAGCGATCACATAGAATTAGACCTTAACTGATGAAGAACCGATTATGGTGGTAGAGGCGTAGTAGTACGTAGGGGAAAGTGATTTAGTAAATTCTTCTTCCATTTGTCTACATTCATGCATGCCTCTTAATGTACTACTTCTTTTCAGTTGGAGCCTTCTCCAGGATACTCAAATGAGCTTTTCCGGCGTCGCTCATTGTGTCCAGCCAAACGCCTTCGACAACTCCTTTTCGCATCATCAAACTCCGATATCTCATGAAACCTACATATATATATCATAATCACATGCATTTTTTCACATACATAGAGATGAAAGTAGAGGTTAAAACAAAGCAAAACAATATTCTTCTTTGCCATTAGAAAATGGGCGAGTATATAAAATGCTAAAGGTTCATTTCATAGGCACTATTGCTAATAAAAAAGTTGGTAAAAATTAAAATAATTTCTACAACTCCATTCTCCTGGAAGCCGACGTCTGAAAAAACTACTTTTAAAACAGCCTTCCAACTTTGTTGACTGTTTTCAAATTAACTGTCAAGGAGTTTTTGATTGTTTCTATCTGTCAAAGAAGACCCGTTTTCTTGTCGAATCCATCAAGGACAACAATTTTCTCATCACCATGGAAATGAAGTCCCCAATATTATTGGTCCTAGCACCCATCCAACTTTGTTCTTTGGTATTGAAGATCGTCAACTAGATTAATTCTAATCTTTCTTTCATTCATTTCATGTTCAAGTATTTTTTGTGTAGAAATAGTATTATCTATGAATTGACCAGTGCATTATGGACTAATTTTGAGTGCTATTAATAGCTATAAGAATTTATTATGATCATATCTATGCGTTGGATATGTTATATAAATGGAAATGGCCGAGTGGTTCTTGTTTCCTTCCAAGCTCCAATGATATATTCACAATAAATTGGTTATGGCTTCCAGCTAACATGTCCCTTTTATGGCAAGTACTGTTTTGTCATGCCTCGAATACTTAGATTGCTATTTCCAGCTCATTCTGAGTACGGGAGGATTAAAAACACTAACAGATGAGAAGCCACTGCCAAATTTATACATGAAACTGCCAGCATCGGAGCAAGTGAAGGAAGATTGTTGAAAATTACATATCGAATTTGGTCTATATCTTACTTTAGACTAATTCAGAGAATTACCACTGAAAATTCCCACAGGAAATGCATCAAAACTATATGTATTTTAAATTCTATAGCGATGTGTAATTTTAGTTCTCTGTATATATATATATATATATATATATAGCTTGGTTGGATAAATCATATATATTGTGATAAGTTCAAACTGATCTAGTTTCAGGTATTGAGATTTGAGATATATGAAACATACACATAGTTAATTAATTACTTCTAAACTTAAGAGGGAACAAAACATACAAATGCTGTACTTAACAAAAGAGAAGAATGAATGTTGACCTAAATGAGCAACAAAAATGAAGTAAAAATCATGAATATGCCAATCAAGCTATAAAAGAAGAATTAGGGTTTTGAAATAACCTGCTACATTGCTGGCAAAAACGTTGTTGAAGACCGGCAAGTCGAACGGTAGAAGCCTTAGCATGGAATTCACAGACTTTATGGCGCCTATGGTATCGCTTGGCGTCTGTCATGTCTGCCGTACAATTATCCACCTGACAAGAAACGGAAGTAGAAGACCCTCCACCACAGGCGGCAGCTCCTTTCTTACCTTTCTTCTTCTTATTATCATCCTTATCAAAACCTACAGTAACTATCCCACTAGCACCATCTTCATCATCATCTTCTTCCTCCTCCTCCGCCACCAGCTCTTTCATTCTCTTTCCCTCGGCTTTGCTCGAGTCCATGATTGTTGTGAAACAAGCAAGGAGATGGAGAGATGGGGGCGGAGAAGAATTGAAGAAGGTGAAGATTTATTAAAGAAGATTAAAATCCTCGATAAGGTGAAAGAGGAGAAGAATATGTGTGAAGGACCACAAGTTCCATTTCTTTCCCTATCAATAACATTGGCTTAATAGTAAGGGTAGGTAGCTAGGAATCCAACATCAAATGTTAGCTCCAACACCACACCACTTCATTTTGATTGGTTTACATTCTGAAGAAAATTTACCCCGTTTCTCATGTCAATTTCAACATACTTATAAATAGATTCTGTGATTCTTTCTTAATCTGAGTTTACCTGAATTCAGAGTTAGATCAATGTGAAGCACGAAATCCTCGTTCACAGCAATTAAGATATATTGACTTTTACTACAAATCTAGCGTAAGAAAATGAAGTGGATGTATTATCAGATTGAGTATATGGACAAACGCAACGATTTCACTGTACAGAGACAGGTTAATTTATTGAGGCACTGACTATGATAATTATTTTTAGAGTTAACAACTCAACCCACTATGACGCTTTTCCACTTATATACAGTTAAAATACCAGTTTATTATCCAAATTTATATTCCGACGGTGAACAAAGAGCAAACTCAATTCAAACTATTAGGGTTTTTAAAGTATGGAGGCTAATAAGTCTTTTGGTGGTTAGGGTTTATCGGAATTTGACTCAGAAGGGACAACTAGATAAACTCTATTCACTCGATTGTCGATGATTGGTGAGAGTAAGGTTTAAAGGGTTTTAGAAAGTGATGATCTGGGAAGAGAATGTTGGTAGTGTAGGGTCACAACGATGTCAAAATAAAAAATAGAATAGAAATTTGAATAATAAAATGGTATTTTAAAAGTATATAGATGAAAAAATATCATTAAAACATTATTTGGGTGGGAAAAAGTCAATTTACTCTCATTTTTAATTATTAATTATTATTAAAAGTCTTGTTACAAAATAAGGAATTTTTCCAACCCTCTCTTTATTACAAGTGACGGTCTTTTTCTGGGAAGGGGCCAATTCGAATTCCAGTTCATGCATGTTTAGAGAATTATTGAAAGGTGAAAAGGTGAAAATGAAAACCATGTCCCCGGCATCTTATTCTTTTTATCTTTTTTCCACACAGTCAGCAGTTTTTAAAACTCAGTGGGCACATGAATATATATATATATGTATATAAAAGCTGGCGCGCGTTACAGCTAGTTCCATTATCATCATCATCTTCAACGAGAGGACCACTCGTCTTATGCGAAATTTGGATAGATTGGCCCCAGTTTGTACGAGGGAATTGAATGCAGTTGGAGCTCCCGCGTGAATGAATTTGCATATTTATGTCACTCAGTTTCAGGAACTGATAGGACCCAATGCTTTTGACAACAAACAAAAGCAAAAAGTATAGTAATGGTAAAAGGGTAAAATGAGATTTTATGAATATTAATAAAGGTAGTTATTAAGATTCTTATCCGATGGATAGTTTCAAGATTTTGAAAGATTAATTGAAGTCCGTATAAACTGGCTTGAAGAGTCATCTAATTAAAAAAAACAAAAGATAAGTGATTCCAATTTCTAATTTTAACCTCTGAAATTTAAATCACTATCATCAACTAACCCAGTGCTTGTTTGTTTTTATGGTAATTGTAATTTCCTTTATTACGAAATAATTTATTTATTGCATTGTTTGTTTGTTTGGATAAGAGATTTGGACGTCTGGGGTGTTGATTGGAGTTTGAAAAACATCGGTTATCGGCCCAGTTAATTGGGCCAGGTAGGAAAAGAAAAGCCTCATTAAATATTTAGGTAGTCCAACCTAACTCACAAGCATCCTCATAATTATAGCCTTTTTTACTTTGAATTTTTTTCATCATGCGATACCACTCTTTACTAACACCGATGCCTAGAAATTTGAATTAAATAATTCATCTTCATGGTTGACATCTGATATTATGCCAATTGTTAACATTTAGAGTAAACGACATTTTCCCACCCAAGGTTTGGTCTAAAGACACTTTCCCACCTAAAAAGTTTCCAAATAGAGCTGGTCAAGGACCAGTGTCAAGCAGGCCCGGGTTTGGGCCCATAAGTAATATTAGGACCCAGACCAGTCTTATGGGCTTGAAATTTTTTTTTTCTCCCTAATCTTTTTTTATATTTTAGGGGCACAATAAAATTTTGTAGGGGGTTTTTAGTATTTTTTAGGAGTAGATTAGTAAGTTTCTAAAAATTTAATTAATTTAAAAAAAATAATAAATTAATTAATAGTTAATTTTAATTTTGAACATAAATGTAATATTCGCATTTCACACATTCATGCTTCATAAATAAACAATTAAATAATTTTTTTTATTAAATTATTCATCTTTATGTCAACAATATTTACATCATTCAAATCTGTATTCCTAAAGAGTTTGAGTAGTTCGGGATCTTCAAAGTGCTGTTGTAGTCTTCTTTCTGCATGAGTCCAATCCGGTAAACACGTTATCACTTCAATCATCTCATCGGTTAAAGAACATCTTTTGTCTTCAACAATCCGACCACTCGTTGAAAATATTGACTCGGATGCAATTGAAGAAACCGGCACAGATAAAATGTCACGCGTCATTTGGGCTACAAAGGGAAATCAACTTTTATGTTGGTTCCACCATTGAAGAATATCCATGTCATGTTGCTCCTTTATCGTCATAAAAGACAGGTCCACTTGTAGGTAGCGATTCAGCTCATTTGGTCCATGTATGTACGAGCTGGAGCTGCTACTTTCGCCACGTTCCATATACGTCCACTTGCTCGATCCTTGACAGAGGGCTACATCAGGATCCTGATCCTCTCTCCTGAACGTTCCACTTCCAACTTCCATTGTATCTGTTCTCATATAAAGAAAAAAGGCTATCCAATTTTTGTTTAAAGTCAGTCAAATAAGACGTATAATCATGTCCTAAATGCTAGCCTAACTCAGTAATTATACAGTTAACTACGTGTAATTTAAACCTGGGATGTAGAACAAGGCCTAATCTATATAAGAATGGAATATCTTATCAATATTTCTCATATTTTTCTTCCATCTTTAAAACAATTTCCCTTAAAACGTTATTATATCTATATTTAGCAAAAGTTTTAGCAATTTGAAGTAAAATATCTAACACTAAATTAGTAGTTGGATAATAAATACCACTTAATGTATTAGTAGCATCATAAAAAATTTTAAGAAATGAATAAAAAAGTTCACAAACTGCCCAATCATCATAGTTGACAATTTCCATTGGATAGTGCTGCCAGTTGACGAAATCTGTAATTTGTTTCGCGGTTGGCAAAGCTTTTTCCAACATCAAGTAGGTGGAGTTCCAACGGATAGGCATATTCGTATATAACTTCAAAGGTCGAACCGATGGGTCCTCTTGCTTAAAATATTTGACGTACTCCTGCCATCTTTTATTGCTACCGCCGACGATAAATCCGATAGCCGCGCGCACCCTCTCCATCTTCGAATGTATAGCATCTAAACCTACTTTAACTATCAAATTGATCATGTGGCAAGCACATCTCTGGTGAAAAAATTTGCCTTCACTACGCGAATCCAAACTTTTTTCAAATAAAGAGATTATCGCGGTGTTAGCAGCTGCATTATCAAGCGTTAACGCTACAATTCTATCAGTTAATAAATATTCTTGCAAAACTTCAAGAATTGTAAAAAAAAAAAAGTTTCAGCACTATGTTTTTCATATAATGGTTTAAAACCCATCAATTTTTGTTGCAAACCTAGGGGTGGAAAAAACCGATTAATCGGTATCTTGAACCGAACCGGTTTTCGATTTAAAAAAAAAAATTGAACCGAAACCAGACAAACCGATTTAAAACCGAACCAAAAATTCAGTTCGGTTAATTGGTTTTAAACCGGATAATTATGATGGGCTGCATTTGTTTGGCCCAATTTGGTCAAACCCTCCACTTTGACCCATTTTTTTTTCCAGGTTTTTTTTTTAACTTGAATTAAAGTTATATTTATTGTAATTGAATAATTTGAATTCATATAATTTTAATGTACATCAAGTATTAATAATTTAAAATTACATTAGTGAAGACCTAGGATAAATTTTTTTTTAAATATAAAATTATTTTTTTATTCATTAAACCGGTTTAAAAATCCGGTTCGGTTAACCGTTTTTGTTATTTCAAATAACCGAAACCGAACCGAATATTTAGTTTACAAAATATGGCAAACCGAAACCCAAAAAAAACCGAATTTTCGAACCGGTTTCGGTTTGGTTCGGCTTTCGGTTTTTTTTTTTTCCACCCCTAGTAAACCCTAATTATGATCTAAGAAATGCACTATGATAGTTAAAAAATCGGTTTTTGATCTACAAGCCTATATGTCTGATGTAAGTGCAATAGATATATTCTTAAAATTTTGAAATTCATTTTTAAGTTTATTATTTATTTTGTTATAAAGTTTTAGTATATCTCTTCTACTTGTACTTCTACTAACAGGGGTATATGTTGGATAAAATACAGTTTTAATCATGTAAATAAAATAAAGATTTTCAGATAAACAAATGGGAGAGTCTGTAATAACTATGAATCTTGCTATTTCCTCTCGTGCAACATGTGCATTGTATTGTCATGTTGAGAGAGTTGAGAATTGTGAATTAAAATTAAGTTGAGTTTGAATTTGTCTACCTGATCCGGTTGAAGATGTATTGGGCAACTACATTATTTGGGGGTGCTTCTTGTCCACGTGTCATCGCATCGTCGAAGTCCCCTTCTTAGCGCCAATAATGGTTCCACAGAAATTACATATCCCACACGATTCTTCCCCCTCCCCATTTGTCTTTGGCCATTTTGATTTGGTAAAGTGTCGCCATACATCGGTCACTAGGTTTTCCAGATTAATCTCTGACACCAAGAAGTGAAAGAAAATATTCTCTTGACACATCGAATGTTGCAAAATGGAATGAATCGCTGCGATTGAGCCACGGAGGTACTCAACAACAAGAATAATCGCGACATGGACCAGCTAAGGATCGCAAACACCGGTTCTATCAGAGATTTTGTTGGCGGTGGAGCCACATTCATCAGCACTGTGAAATATCAAAGCTTTTCGGAATGAAAAAATATATTTAGTGAATCAACAGAGGACAAATGGGAGAATTTAATGGCTTTTTCAAGAGGAGACCATTGGAAAGAAAGAGATCGACTGATCAACAAGGGTGTGACTGAAAAATATCCAGAGAATCTCAAAATCGATAGCATTTTTCCACGGTAAAATCCTCCACTCTTCTTTTTCTTTGATTTGAAATTGAATCGATGTGCT